TACCATTTCTCATCCCTACCTCCTGAAAGGGAGGGCAGAAAATGGGAAAAATGCTTAGCTCATGGTGTTAGACATTAGAAAGCAGACGCTTCAGCAAAAAGCCAAGCATTTATTAACCAAGAGATGAACAACGCAACCAGAGGCTGTTACAGATTGTTGGCAACGGGAGTTTAAATCTGATCACTTATTCTATAGATGTGATTTACACATCTCACTGGCTTCTGAATTAAAGGAGTCCCAATTCATTACAGCAAGCTGAGAAATGGGCAATCTTTTAATGTTGTGTAGCTCTCTTACCTCTTGACAAATCAAACCTCGGTAGCCACACAGTGGTCTTCCTTTCACTTCCTGTGGGAAAACTGGGGTAATCTAGGTCATTGATAGTCTGCCACTTGATTTACAGCAATGACCAATTTCCAACTTGGCTTTATCTGATCTGCCCTGGAAAATGTTTTCAGCTGCTACGGGCAGTCTTGTTAAATTGTGCAGACCTGCAATCATTTTTAAAAATCACTCAACCATCAAAGATTTGATTTGGTCTGCTTAATCTGTGCTGACCTCACTTCATTTTGCAAGGCCAGGCCTCTGTATCCCAACCTACTGCCGAAGGCTTCCAGCTGCGTCCTGTATTGCATTTTCCCAAGCACTTCCCTATCTCTTATCTCATGCTACTGAGAGAACAGGTACTGCCACTTCCGTATCAAGGGTGAGGTGACTCAAACATGGGAAGACCACAGAGCAAGGCAGTGATGTTGCTGGATTAGAATCAGGGCTCATGGCCTGGTACAGTCTCATGCCACCTTACAACACCGATGCAACATGTGCACCTGCCCTAGGGAAGAATAGAGCTGGCAAGGCCAAGAGAAGGACCTGCAGTTTCCATTCGCACTGTCCTGATTTATGTTAAGTCTAGACAATGAGGTGAGGGATGAAATAAACGTGGATTTTACCAAAGTGAAATAAACGGTGTGCTGGCATTTGGGCCTTTCATCTGTGCTGTGGGAAGAGAGCAGATGTTCCTCATCAGCCCCGCCTTGCTTCTGCCCCTGCCTTTCCCAAATCGTGTTGCTGGATGGGTCAGTGCCCCCACTCTCAGGCTCACTCTGATCCAATGCCTGAGCCAGCCCAGACTGTGGTGTGAAGAGTCTGCCCAGCAAAGATACCAGCCCAGGTTCTTCCCTTTCTCCTGGGCTGCTTCTGCTGCCTCTCCAATCCCATAAAAACCCTGGCCCCCAGACCCACACCCACCAACTCAGGAGGAAGGCTTGGGGTTGCATGCTGTCCCTCGTTTGTGGTTCTGTCTGTATGCTGCTTCCTCCCTGCTCCCTTCTCAGAGCAGTGTTTACCCATGGCAAGATGTCCCCAATTCCTGCCACTTCTCCTTTCCTTGACTGGACAGATCCTGGCTTCAGATGGCCAGCTGCCCTCTTCCTGTCTCCCTCTTGGCAGTTTCTGCCCCTATGACCAGACACCCCATAGGTCAACAGTTCTATTTCTGTGACCGAGACTGTGGCTTTGTTGGCCAGTGGTACCAGCTGCATATTTAAGTCCAGCCTTTGGGGTTGGGCCAGTGACCCCTGATTCACATGTGGTCTCCATGCCCCTTCTGCCATCTGCACTGGGATTCATCTACAGTGCCTTACATTTTGTTTCTTTCAGGTATACCATGACTTGCTTTAAGAAAATGCAATATACCTGGGTGCAGTGACTCATGCCTATAATCTCAGCTATTTGGGAGGCTGAGGCAGGAGGATGGCTTGAGGCCAGGAATTTGAGACCAGCTTCAGCAACACAGCAAGGCAGTGGCCTCTAAAATGTTATTTTTAAAATTAGCTAGGCATGGTGGCACACACCTGTAGTCACAGCTACTTAGTTGGCTGAGGCAGGAGGATTGCTTGAGCCCAGGAGTTCAAGGCTGCAGTGAGCTATGATCATGGCACTGCATTTCGGCCTGGGCAACAGAGTAAGACTCCAACTCCAAAAACATAAAGAAAAAGAATAGCATATAAACAGCAACACCAGCAGATAACTATTACTATTATATAGGATATTTAACATATAAAAATGTACTATAGCTTTTAACATATTAACTTTCCATCATGCATTAGAAATGTGACTGAATTTATAACAAATAATCCAGTTTGTTAAATAAAGCAAGCGCTCTTTTTTACCACACCTTCACTGCCCCACACCCACCTCATGCCTTCATGTCCCTCTCTGACCAGCTTTCAGATTCTATGATCAATAACCATCATCATACTACGGTCCACACCCTCAACTCCCTTGCACCCATCTCTCTCATACTCAACTTGCAAAAGCCCAACTCAGATTACATTCACTACTTTGCCTACCTGTACCTGCACATGTAGAGTTGAAAACACTGAAGACACACCCAAGACCTGATTTCTACTGCCTGCTCTTAAATTCAAGATCCCTAACCACAGAGGTGTCCAGAAACCTGACTGCATTGCCTTAAACCAATTACTCCTGAACTGTCCAAGAGGATTATTTCACACCTTCTCTTCCTTCCTCAAATTTCTAATACCTCCTTCCCCTTCCTTCCTGCCAGCTGATGACCTTGCTTCTCATTTCACTGAGAAAATGGAAGCAGTCAGAAGGTTCATCCACAGACCCAGCCACCACAGGCTCCCGCACACCTGCACTCGTCCTGTGGGCTCCACTGTCACTCCTGCGCAAGAACAGCCTCTCGGTTTGTGCACTCAGTGCCTTCCTCACTTCCCAGCTCAAGCCCTTCCTTCCAGCAGTTGTCTCATCTCTCTCTTCCCTCATCAACGTTTCCCAGGCTCTACATCATTCTCTGCAGCCCTCAAACACACTGTCATATCTCTAAACGTATCCCCTTCCAAGCCCACACTCTTCCTCTTCTACAACTCTGTTTTTCTCCTTCCCTTTACAGCAAAACTCCTTGAAGAAATCAACACTCCTGCTGCCTCCTCTCATCTCACTCTCACTTAAATCCAAACCTCCCAGTGTCTGCCTCCACCTGTCCATCTAAGCAGCTCCAGTCCACGGCACCAGTAGCCTCCTTGCTACTAAATCCAGTGGATAATCCTATGGCCTCAGGTTTCTTGGCATGTCAGCAGCATTTCATAAGGATGGTCACTCTCCCTTTCTAGAAATGCTTTCTTAAATTCCAGGTCCCCACTTCTCTTAGTCCTCTCCTAATTCACTGGCCAGCCCTTCTTATTTTCATTTGCTAGTGCCTCATCACCTCCTATAACAGTCCAGAGCTCCAGTCTCAGACCTCTTCTCTATCGACTTTAACTCGCATGGTGATTTCATCCAAACTCCTAGCTTGAAATGCCATCCACACATTGATGATTCCTAACTTTACACAGCCAGTCCAGACCTTTCTTTTGAATTCTAGATTCATACATTTATCTGCCTGCTATGGTCTGAATGTTTATGACCACCCTTCCCCCACCACCATCAGCCAAATTCATATGTTGAAAACCTAATTATCAATGTGATTATATTAGGCAAGGCCTTTGGGGGTGTATTAGTTCATTCTCAAACTGCTAATAAAAACATAACCTAAGACTGCGTAATTTATAAAGGAAAGAGGTTAATGGACTTACAGTTCCACGTGGCTGGAGAGGCCTCACAAATGGCAGAAGGGGAAGCAAACATGTTCTTCTTCATATGGTGGCAGGAAGGGGAAGTTCCCAGCAAAAGGGGGAAAAGCCCCTTATACAATCATCACATCTTGTGAGAACTGTCTCACTATAATGAGAACAGCACCATGGAGGTAACTACCCCATGATTCAATCATCTCCCACAAAGTCCCTCCCACGATACATAGGGATTATGGGAACTACAATTCAAATGAGATTTGGGTAGGGACATAGCCAAACCATATCAGGGAATGATTAGATTATGAGGGCTGGAATTAGTGCCTTTATAAAAGAGGCCCCGATGGTTCACGTTGATTTTCTTCCTCCATGTCATTGCTAGTGATTAAATCATTCATCCTTTTCCCAATAGATTAAAGCACTACCTTTGTCTATATTACGTTCTCATAATATTGGGATTCATTCAAAAATAAAAAGGGTCCCAGAGAGCTGCCTTGCCCCTTACAGCATATGAAGACAGATTGAGAAGGTGCTATCTGTGAACCAGTAAATAGACCATCACCAGACACCAAATCTACTGACGCGTTGGTCTTGGGCTTCCAAGCCTCCAGAAGTATAAGAAATAAATTTCTGTTGTTTATAAGCCACCCAGTCTATGGTATTTTGTTACAGCAGCATGAACAGACTAAGACACTGCCCACTCAACACTTCCACCTAGGTATCAGATTGGCATCTCCAACGATTGAACTGAATATCTCCAGAACTGAACTCCTATTTTTCCTTCACAGCAGGTCTTCCCATGGTGATTCCTATCTCATTCCAGTGAAACTCCATCCTTCTAGTTGCTTACCCCCAAATCCTTGGCACATTCTGGACTTTTCCCTCTCTCTCACATTCCACTTAGATCTACTTGATGAGAAAATCCCCTGAACTGTACTAAAGACATCTGTCCAGGATTCACCACCTCCTCTGCTGCTTGCTTGCCCCACATAGATCTCGTCTCCCCCTGAATTACCACAACGTCCTCCCAACTGGTCTCCCTGCTTCCATGCTTGCCCACTTCCTTACTAACTCATCTCACCACATCAGCCAGAGTAATCTGTTTAAAAAATAGGTCAGATTGTGTAATTCTTGTGCTCCAAATCTTCCATTGGATTCTGATCTCATTTCAAGCAAAAGCCAACATCCTGCAATGGTATACAGATGCCTCCATAATCCAGCGCCGGCCACCACCTCTTAGGTCGCATTTCCTACCACCCTCCTTCACCCACTACCAGCCTGCCACATTAGGCTTTCCTACACACCAAGTGTGATTTCAGCTCAGGTCAGCACTTGCTGCTCCTTCCACCAGGAGTGTGTTTCCCCCAGATATTCACAAGGCTCACATCTTTGTTTTTTTTTTTCCCCCACAACTCCAACACTACATTATTAGTAAGGTTTTTCTTGAATATTCTATGGAGGTATCCTCCTCCCCAGCACAACCTAGTCTGTGAGCTACAAACTGACATAGTGTATATTCACTAGTTTATTTGTAAATTGTTCCTCCCTGGTCTCCCACTAGAATGCAAGCTCCGTAAGGGCAGAGACTGTCATGTATTTACTATGACATTCTCAGCACCCACAAATATAATGTAGAAAATGTTCAAAAAATATTTGTTGACTGAGTTACATAAACTCAGACACATGCTTATTAATCACACATGACTTCACAGCTTTAAGCTGGACTTCAGATAAAATGAGATAGTAAAACTGCTTTGGAAAGACCATTTTTGCAAATAAAAGGAAATTGTTTTTATGTTTTACTTTGTTTTATAATTGGGTAATGTCAAAGATAGAATTTATATCACCTGGGGAGGAAGGCAGAAAATCACACTGCCACATGTGTACCTATGCAACAATTTTGCATGTTCTTCACATGTACCCAAAAACCTAAAATGCAATAAAATAAATAAATGGGAAAAAAAAAGAATTTATATCACCTTTTACATAAGGAGCATGTACATTTTGTTGATACAAAAGAAGAAATCCATGGCATCAGGAAAAATAATAAAGTCATGTTAACAGGCAGTGAGGAAATCAGATGCGTAACTTTGGATAGGGCTGGTATATGAGCCTGACCCAGATAATGGCTGGTCCCAAACCCAAAATAGAGCTTTTCCACAGCCCCAGAGTCAGAAGCCTGGGAGGTGAATTCTTCCTATCTCAGGCAACTACTCTACTCAGCTATATTTCAGGCTACTGTTTGATCTGAAGCAACATTGGAGCAGGGTTCCACCATACAAAGGATGTTCTGGGTGCTTGGGGAAATATTTTAGCAAATGTACCCTAATTGTAAAATCATGGAGGTGCCCAGGTGTTACAGGCCACCTGGTCTACTTTACCAAATGTGTAAATTACCTCTTTTGTTTATATACCAAGTATCTATTCAGTCTCTGCACCTTGGGAAAGGTTGCTCACCATCCCATGAAGTTGTTGATTTCAAATTGAGGCAACTCTAAATATTGAGGAATGTTTTCCTTATCTTGCACTGACAGCTGCCTTTCTGAAACTGATAGCCACAGTTTTTGGGTTGATCCTACTTTTATGACTGGTTGTACATTTGTGTTTCCAGCACCAAATGAGATGGTAGTAAATGAAGTACAGGCTTTTAAATCTTGCTCTTCACCAATCAGACTGGAATTTCAGGAAAAAATAATCAACTGTTCTTTGACGCAGTAATTCAAATTCAAGTCATTTTATTCTAAGAAACCCATATTCCTCCACTACAAAGGCTGGAGAGTTATCAACTCACCTTCCCAGATATTTTTTGAGCTAGGGTGATCACATGGTTGAGTCTGCAGGCGGGAGCAATTCCCTCTTTTCTCTGGGAGAGCCCTGTGCTTGCCTGGGAGCCGCCATTGCTAAGAGAGACAGAGCTGCAAGATGGCCTCAATGACTCCTTATTCCCTTGTCTCAATATCTTCTTCCATGAAAACAAAAACAAAACTCTTAAGCTGTTATTTCCCAGGTTTTCAGATACTTGCAGCCAAATGTACTCCTAAAAAACAATTACATAGCCAATTAAAATTATGTTTATGAAGAGTTTATAACAGCATGAGAAATTATTTATGAAAATGTTAAATGAAAAAAGCTTGATGCAAAATTTGTATAGAGTATAACTACAAATATATACAATCAATGCCAAAAAAATTTGCCACACGTTTGGTGATGACATAACAGGCATTTTGCCTTCTTTAAAAATGTTAACATACCGATTAAGTGTAAGGCCCCATGCCGGGCACATTTAAGTTATTTCATTTTTTCCACTGTTTTGTATATTTCACTTTTTTATTTGCAATAAAGAAAATATTATTAAAAATTAAAAATCCTTTATCCTGAAACATCTAAAGGAAAAATCAACCAATTATGATTTTGGTAAAGCCCACAGAAGTAAAATTTGCCAGTCTTCTTTACCCTGCCATCGTTAGCATTCTGATTTGTCAGCTAACCAGAAAAATGTGTATGTAATAGAAGACTGTCAGGAAACTGACAAATTAACTTCAACTACCAAAAAGCCAAATGACAGCTGCTTGATTTCATTACTACTGCAGAAAGAATGTCGAAAAATGAAGGAAAAACAACCAACCTCTATGATTTCAGCATTACAAGGAAGGGCTGCTTATTTGCCATAGAAATAATATTTTGGAGGAAGAAGCTATTAAAATGCAGATCCATTCAAACCCAGACTGAGATTATAGCTTAGAGTTAATTAAAAGAACCCCAATTGTGTGCAAGTTGAATTTTAAAATATAACTAATGTATGTAGATGATATTGTTTCTGACCCACCAAGATGCCACACTATCTTATTGCCTCAATGCCATGCTCCATTTTTGTGAAAGAAATTGCAGGAGGTGGCAATGTGTTTTCTCCAGTGATGAGGTGACACAGACAAAACAACATCCAGGCAGGTGATGGTCTCGGCTTAACTCAGGATAAAGCATGAAACTTGGCTGCATCCTGAAGCTGAAGGCCCTTGGGGAATACAAGTGGTTTTGGCAAGGGCAGTGCTACCACCGGACCATTCGATTCAGCTGTCAGAGCCTGACTGGGAGTTATCTTTCTCTGGAGCTGCCTGGGAGAAGGTGGGGGACTTTCAGGATGGCCAAAATAGCTGTTAAGTGGCAGTCTTCGATTTTCTTTGGACTCTCTAGCTTGGAACATAGCCAAGGGGCTCCTAAGCTCCTAGGAGTATATTTACAGCCACTGCCTTTGTTTAGATGGCAGTTAACCTCATCTGCTCCGTTAACTCTGAAGGAGCCCATACCTGTCAAATGCAGACACTAGGAATTCCAAGCAACTGTCTCTACCTTGTCTTCCCATAGTGTCTACTAGGGTAGAGGAGGAGTAGGTGAAAGAGGATTGGTACTATAGTGCCAGCTCCTTTGTGTTGATGCTAACTTGCTTTCCTGCCTCCTGCAGCCGGTTCCCTCAGGAGCCACATCAGGTTGTCGGGCTGATGAGAACTGACCAGGACATATTTCCTACAGAGCTCTTGAAGCTTTCTAGGTCTCTGATCACTACTTGCAAAATCACCAGCATCTCAGGAGGGAAAGTAAATGTGTCTCCAAGGTAGATCTCTTTCCAGCTTAGATCTTAGATGATCTTGAGGGCTCCTAGCTTGGATAACACACACCCAGAAATGAGGTTCCATGAGACAAATTCAACGAGAGGGTGTGCTGTTCAACAGGTGGTGCCTACCCTGGCTAACAGCATTTCGATTCAGTCAGGCAAAACCTACCAGATCCAAGTGCCAACACATGGCCGTCTCCTATGAACACTATTAAGGACTTCATGAAGCTAGTAAAAGGATTTGTGAAAAATTCACAGTGACAATTACTAGATTTCCTTAATTCTAAGATATGCTATTGTGTTTCTTCTCACATGTTACTGAAATAGCAATGCATCTTACAGTTAATGTGTACATTATAATGTGTTAGTGTTTCTTTTTTTTTCCTGAAAACATATTCTTGGAAATAAATACATAAGCAAGCAAGCAAACAAACACAGACTATTCTGATTCTATTTTCTTCCTATTCTGGAACTTGAAAACATCCTTAATAACAATGAACTGATGAGGCTAAGAGACTGGCCTCTGTGATTAAAAAAAAAGACCTGGATTCCTACCTTTCCTGATCCATGCACAGTAGTTTGCGCTGAAATGCCTGCTTTTGCATCAGGGATCCTTCACTAACAATCTATGTAGCAGAGAAGGCTAATGATCCACCTAAATTTGCGCTTTTCCTCCCATAGGATGGAGGCACCCCTGGAAAGCATCCACCCAGCCAGGCATCATGTTTTCTAGCCTTCTAGGTGGGGTCATATGAATAGTTCTCCAGATCATGAGAGGGATAATGTGAGTCACTTCCTGATCAAGGCAGTTAAGAAGTAAGTGTACCTCTTCATCCTCTCTCCTTTGACAGGCTGGAGGCAAAGGATTCTGAGGCCTTGGGAGATAGCAGAGTTGTAAATGGTAGAAACCACATCAAGGAAAGCTGTCCACTGGCAAGAAATACCTGTACTAGACTGTTCAATTGCTGAAAGTATGGGGGTTTATTTATGCTCTAAATTACATTTTTCCCCTATATAATTTCAACACAGCAAAGCTCTGGTGTCTAGAACTTGGGGGGGGGTGGGGTATGGCAACCCACTGATGGCTACATAATTTGCAGGGTCCAGGGCAAAATGAAAATGCAGGGCCCCTGGTCCTAAAGTTATTAAGAATTTCAATATGGCTATGGAGCATTTAACAAAGTGGGGAGCCTATGTGACTGCAGAGATCGCCGTTGATGACATCAGCCCTGCTCTGACCTGCATACCCAGTGTCATGTTAGTTATACAGTCTTATTTTAACTGCGTCAATCTCATTTCAGATGGCCAGAAGAGGCTAAAGATTAGGATTATTACCATGCATTTTAGAGAAACACACTCCAAGCCTTCTTGCTCCCTCCCACAGTGAGAATATATGGAGTATATTTGTATACACTGACCCTCTAAATCAGCATTTTGACTGACGAGTGTTGTTCATTCGGGGTGTTCATTGGCATTTTGTGTCCAGCTGGTTAGCCATAAATGACCCATTTATCAGGAACTTGATCTGGTTGATTCTGGGGGATCACCCCTCTCCGTGGTCCCTCTCATTAGTCCTGGAAAAGGCTTTGTGAGATTAAAAGCTGCTCACTGGTCCGACTTCTTGCCATGATGCCCATATTTATCCCTTTCCTGCAGGTCAAGTACCACTGTAGGTCAACTCAGTAACCCTAACATCATACAAGGAGTATGTAAATAGATGCAGTTCCACACACACACACACACACACACACACACACACACACACACACGCACATTCTCCACATCAACACCTGGACAGCTGGTCCAGCTCTGGCCTCCGCATTCTGATAATCAGCTTTCAGAATGACCCATCCCATTCCCAAGTCCTGGAGTCCTGGCCCTAAAGCCCTGGCCTGTGGCTAAGGTACACATTCCATGCTGACAGACCACCAGCCACTGCTGGCCTGAGCTTGCTTTTTTGCTTTTTTTTTTGAAAGTAAAACAAAAAGTTTTAATTTTATTGAATGTACCTGTGTTGGTGATACACCTGCACTACTTTCCATACGTTGTAACTGTCTAACTCCTCCATTTCAGCTCAATCATCTGGAATCGTGAAGAAATCATGATCACCTCCACCTTTCTAAGCAATACATTTCTATTACTATTTCTTGATGTTTCAGTTTTAGATATTGTCCATGGATTTCTTCCTGGACTGATTTATACCTCATCCTCCTGCATGGCTGGGTTCTAGGTTCTCCCCTCACTACCATCCTGGGGGTGTATTCCCCATTCTCTTATCTGAGTTTGCTTTTAAGGAACTCCTTTCTCCCTGGAGGGACCCACAGCCCCACGTGGTGCTATACTTTTAGGACAAGAGGCCTGTAGGCTGAGCTGAAACATTTCACAGCAACTGAAGGTGTGTATGCAACCCCCAAATCTATCCCATCATCTTGCTTCTTTAGCCTTCCCACCACATCTCCCAACCCCACCTCACCAACCAGCTGTAATTAACCAGACTGGGCTAACTGAAACCTTTACTGCTATACAGCTTGAGCTCTTCAGGCTGATTCCCCATCTCTCACTCATCACCACCACAATGGCACATAAGCCAGTTGCCTGTATCAAGGCTTTGAGTCCTAAGATGTCATTCTTCTCTCCAAGGCAGTTAGGATCCTCTATTAAAGCATGCAGAGTTTCCAGTGACTATAAAAGGAAATTGAATACTCCATTTCTTACAAGTGATTAAGCAATAAAAGATTATAAATACATCTGTAGAAATAAACAACAAACCTCTACAGATTTAAAGATTTTACTTTGAGTAAATACAGAGAAAGATAAAGCTAAGATGGCAAATAGACACTACTTCAAGTACTACCATTGCTCAATTGGGAGGAGTGGCTACCTGTAGCATTGTGTTGAAAAGGATCCTGAGGTCAAATCTGAGCTAAGCAAGAAATAATTCCATGATCAATTAGTGACACACAGGAACAAAGAGTGGCGATATGTGAGCCTCTTAATTGCCAAACCTGGAGGGGTCACTTGCATGGGTTTAGAGCCAGACAGATCTGAGTTTGAATCTGGACTCAGCTACCTGGTCTTGGGCTAATGTTAAACCTCCTCAAGTTAACAGTTCCTTTCCTGTTAAAACAGTGATATGAATTCCTCTAATAGAGTATCACTGTTTCCATTAAATGCATTAGTATTTGCAAAACACTTACCATAACATAGTATATATTAAGTACCAAATCACAGAAGCTCTTACAGTACTAGTTCTTTGGCCCCAAAATTAGTTCTCAAATATAAATGCCTTGAAATATGCTCCACTGATTTAAAAGTGTATTTTACCCTCTTTTAAAAGTGATCTCTACCCTCTTTCAAATCAGTAAACCTTGTACTGGCACGTGGGAGGTGCTGGATAACAATCAGGTGATAAACGCAGCATTTCTGCCCAGTAACCTCTCCACCAACATCACACTCTGTATGGCAGACAATGGAGAATCTGAGTGGCTCTGACTGAATTCTTAGCTTTTCCTAAAAATAAGCTTATAGCCTGAGTCACCCCTTTCTTCTCAGGCTCCTCTGAAAGTTGAACAGGATGTCACAAAGGCCAGAAATAGCCTCCACATTCCAACTCGAAATTGGTTCTCCATCAGCTCTAAGACTTTCATCTGAAGCTGGGGAGGATGCTGCTTCTGGGTTTCAGTATACAGAGAATGTCTTAAATGGTTAAAAAATGAATGGTAGCCAGCGTAGTGGCTCACACCTCCCAGCACTTTGGGAGACTGAGGCAGGTGTATTGCTTGAGCCCAGGAGTTCCAGGCCAGCCTGGGAACACAGCAAAACCCCATTTCTACAAAAAATATAGAAAAATTAGCCAGGTATGGTGTTGCATGCCTATAGTCTCAGCTACCTTGGAGGCTGAAATAGGAGGATCACTGGAGCACAGGAGGTCAAGACTGCAGTGAGCCATGATCGTGCCACTGCACTCCAGCCTGGGTGACAGTGAGACTCCTGTCTCAAAAATAAGCACCCCAAAACTAAAGGGGATCCCTCTATGAAAATAATGGAGAGCCACTGAGACGCCTTCAGGATATACCAGCACTGGCAGGGATGGGCACTCAGGAACCTGGAGCAGCTCCCTGCCTCATCCTGCCTCCACTCTGCCACCGCAGCAGTCTCTAATAAACCACAGGTCTTCAGTGGCTCTCAGCAGCTCACAGATCACATCTTTGCCCCACCTGGAACGCCTGGTCTTCTGTGATCCAGCACTCCCTCCCCATCAGCCTTACTTCTCAACATCCGTGAGCCACACTGAGCTTCATATCACAAACCTCATCACTTCGCCCATGCTCCTCCTTTGACCTACACATTAATTTAGAATCCTCTGGGATTAGCCACCCTCACCAGACCTAAGCTGCTTTTTGCCCTCTTGGGGAGGTTAGGAGGGGCTGGGATCGGGTTCTGGAGCACAGCAAGGGGATCCCTGAGTCTTTGAGACTGCACAACAGTCATCTGGTGGGGGGGAGATGGAGGGCAGCAGGGCAGGCAGCTTGGAGCAGCGGAAAGACAGCTGGCATAGAGACATGGATGATGTGGGCTCTGGCCACAGACTGAATGAGCTTGAACAAATTACTCAGCTGAGCTTCTGTATTCTCTGAAACAAAATGCAGAAAATAATACCTTTCCTGCTCCTTGATGCACAAACACGATGATAGAAAGAGATAATTCTGTAAACTCTAAATAGCTGTGAACACATGGGGAATATTTTATTTATTATCAATGGGGAGTAGTGAGACAACACTGGGTCCTGAGCAAAAACACAGACAGGACTGGGGCAGCTCAGTGGACATTTTGAACTCCTGTGATGTGGTTTACAGCTTTGCCCAATGTTTTTAACTGGCTGGGTGAGGGAATGTTTACTACTCATTACACCTTAGTGTGAAATGTGGTTCTGTGCCTTTCCTCCAAACTGACACAAGAACAGAAAATCAAACACCGCATATTCTCACTCATAGGTGGGTGCTGAACAATGAGAACACATGGACACAAGGAGGGGAGCATCACACACTGGGGTCTGTCGAGGGGAAATAAGGGAGGGACAGCAGGGGGTGGGGAGTTGGGGAGAGAGAGCATGGGGAGAAATGCCAGATATAGGTGAAGGGGAGGAAGGCAGTAAATCACACTGCCATGTGTGTACCTATGCAACAATCTTGCATGTTCTTCACATGTACCCCAAAACCTAAAATGCAATAAATAAATAAATAAATAAATAAAGGCTTTGACTGGAGACAGAGCATTATGGGATACATGAGTATGCAGGCAAGGAAGAGGTTTCTGCCATTAATGGCAAAGGGCACCCACTGTTTACAGGGCCCTTAGCCATTTCCCCTGGGACATGATTTCTACTGCCATAGCCAGAAGTAGAGTAGGGTACCCTTGGCTATCACTGTGAGATGCAGGTATCATCTGACAGCATGCAGGGACTCTGTCCCCAAAAAGATACATTGAAGTCCTAACTCCCAGTAAACCTCAGGATATGTCTGAGACAGGGTCCTTTCAGAAGTCATCCACTTATGTCATTAGGGTAGGCCCTGTTCTAATATGATTGGTGTCCTTATGAAAGGGGAAATTTGGACATATAGGTAGACATATGTAGAAGGAGGAGGATGTGAAGAGACACAGGGAGAAGTTGGCCGCCCCCATGTTAAGGAGAGAGGCCTGGAACAGATCTTTCCCTCACAGTCCTCAGAAGAAACCAATCTAGCTGGATATCTTGGTTTCAGGCTTCTAGCCTCCAGAACGGTCAGATGATATACTTTTTGTTGTTTAAGCCATCCAATTTGTGGCACATGATTATAATAGCCTTGGAAAACTAATACAGAGCCTTTATAACAATCCAGCGGAAAAAAGAACTAGGGAAGCCACAACGGTCCAAATTAGGAAGAACACTGATGTGTTTATTTGGTTAAAGCCACAGATACTAACCCAACTCTGGACATTTTGAGACCTGACAGCCTTACTGCCCAAAGAGAACTAAACTAGAGATGGCCAGTTTCTGTTTGTTTACTATGAAATTCAGAGCAATAATGAATCTGCAGGCCATCTGCTTCCCACACATGCCCCTTCCCTGGTGGCTCACAGTCAAGGTGTCCAATGGGGAGGGTGATGGCTTCTGCAGAGCTGCTTGGAGCCAGTGCATGTGGTGGGTGATGGCTTGTAAAGGTCCTAGCAGTCCCACTGATCACTGCTGATTCTGAGTTCAGAACCAGGAAGGGATCTTACTCTGTAGGCTTCCAGGAACTGGGCAAACCAAACTGCAGGTTCATGCTCTAGGTGGAAATTGTGGATGCTTTCCACGTGGAGGGGAGACATCAAGAGTGAACTGATCTCAGACACAGCCCAAGCATCCAAGAAGAGCACCTGATGAAAAAGTGAGGTTGGCAAAGCAACTGTTTCAATTCAAAAAGCATTAAGTGAGTAACTGTGATGTGCCAACTTCCCTCTCTCCTCTGAAGCTAAGGGTAACCCCAAGCTGGGCCTGGAAGCTTCTCTTCCCTTGCTAAGCTGAGTGAGAGCTTAGATAGGGGCCAAAGGACACAACCCAGATAGGAGAAATGGAAAGTGAATGCAGAAGAAAGAACCTAGAGAAATTTGCCAGGGAAGAGCCCCAAGAAGGTGGCAGAGGCAGCATCAGGCAAGGGAAAGGAGGAAGCCATCAGGGCAGGGGCCTGGTTACAAAAGAAAGAAGAGAGAATTCAGGGTGTTTAGGGATAAGACAGAATTTAGGGTACCCAGCTACTGGTTATTTTCACCACCCCCTAGCTAATATTTAGTACCACCTTCAGTTATAAATGTAAACACAAGCCCCAGGTAGATCATTAGTACCCATGTGATGTGGTTTGGCTCTGTGTCCCCACCCAGATCTCATCTTGAATAACAATCCCCACAATCCCCATCACGGCAGGACCTGGTGGGAGCTGATTAGATCATAGGGCCAGTTTCCCCCATGCTGTTCTCATGATAGTGAGTTCCCTTGAAGTCTGATGATTTTTATGTGTTTGAGTTCCTCCTGTACACACCTGCTGCCATGTAAGATGAAACTGCTTCCCCTTCCACCATGATTGTAAGTTTCCTGAGGCCTCCCCAGACATCCAGAACTATGAGTCAATTAAACCTCTTTCCTTTATAAATTACCCAGTCTCAGGGGAAGTTCTTTATAGCAGTGTGAGATTGGACTAATATACCATGACTTTATCAGGAGTAGGAATCACAGACATTTTATATAACATTACACTTGTTGGAGACAACTCAAAATATCACTATGTTCATAAACAATTTGAAATTAGAGTAAGTATTAGAACTGCCACTCAATTTTACTTGATATAATAAAAAAGGACATTATCGATAACTTTTCTAATATTTTATGACTGTATATCAACCAAAGCCCATGTTATCTATCACAATTTTCTAATATTTTGCTGACTGTACATCAATCAATCAAAGCACATTATCACAGTTTTCTAATATTTTTCTGACTGCATATAAATTTCACTAGTTATATTTTTAATCCTATATATTTTTATTTTGTGTATTTAAGCATTATTCTGAAAAGGGACCCATAGGTTTCACTGCTAAGGAGTCCAAGATATAGAACAAGTTAAGAACTCTGCTAAAAGTTACTACACTTGCTTTGACGCTATGCAAATGTGTTGTGACAGGCAGAGAGTAGATAATGGTGAATATGATGTAGTCATTGGTCTGAAGAAGTTTATGGTCAGGCAGGGAAGAGAGATAGGAAGTTATATTCTTTGCCCCTCTCTTTGTGTTCCCTAACTTCTGCTCCCATCAACAGAGTACAACACTTCTGCTTGGCTCATATGGCACTCTGTGATCTAGAAAAGGTGCCCGTTCCTCAAAACCTGCTGGAAAATTGCCCTAACAAATACACAAGGCTACAGGGACCTTGTGTGAACAGTGCCCTGGCACAGTGCTCAGCAGTAAGGCTGAATTACAGCACCAGCCCAAGGCTTGACTATAATGAATCTCTGCAGAAATGTTAGGTAAGAAGGTTTCTTATACATGTATGCCAGCTCCCTCATCTCTTGTCCATGGAAGACAGCTCTAATCCATCTTGATGTTCTTTCTCCAACACCTAAAATGCAGCTTCAAAGATCTTCCCACAGTGGCACCATAGATGGACACTGCTTATCACAGTTGACATAAGAGATGAAAATCATTTGCAATCCCAGGATTAAGGCTTTACCATTTTTGAGAAATCGATATTGTCATGAGGGATTCTAGAAAATAAAAAAGCCTTTGACATTTAAAGAAATGAATCCCTAATGATGACAGTGGAGATTTAAAGGAATGAATCCCTATTAGTAAAAGAATGGGAAATACATTTGGTCAGGTAACCTTTATGTTATACAACATCAGTGATTTTCAAAGGAGTTATTTTGTTCCACAAAGGATATTTGGCAATGTCTGGAGACCTTCTTGATTGTTACATTGAAGAGTGGAGAGTGCCACTAGCATTTACTGGCTAGGGACCAAGGATGCTACTGACATCCTATAAAGCACAAGATCAGTACCCCCGACAGCAGAAAGTTATGTATCCCAAAGTGTTAATAGTACTTCAGTTAAGAAAACTTCCACTATAGGATTGGCTTCCCATTCTCCAAACAGCTGCTCAGAAGTAGCCCTTCTAGAGAATTTCAGGATCAAGCATATGTATGACCAGACAAAAAAAAAAAAAAAAAAAAGGCTGTCTATCTGCAGTGAGCAAT